CATAATTTAGATCAGTCAAACGAAATTTGTTATAGAAAAAAGCATGTAATAGACAAAATTTATTTGTTAATCATAATTTTTTTATATTTTCTAATTTCAAATATTGTTTTATTAAAAAACATGAAAAAATAGCTGCATTTTTTCGATTTGTCAAATAATATTTTTTAAAGAAAAAAAAACAAAAGAATACACAAATACTAACTTTAAAGTGTGGACAGACAGAATGAAAGAATTAAATACGAAGAAATAGTTAATATTTCAGACCTTTTCTTTATTAAAATAACTTTTACTACTTATAGAAAAGCAACAATAATTACAAACTTCTTGTCTGACTATTATTTATTTGTACTACTTATACTTAAACAAAAATGTTTCAAATCACTTCTGTCTAATCAAAATTTATTCGTACTACTCAAAATTTTTTTTTTCTTCCAAAATACAAGGGAAAAATACAAACTTCATGTCTGACTATTATTTACTTGTACTACTTATATTGAAATAAAAATGTTTCAAATCACTTCTGTCTGATCAAAATTTACTTGTACAACTGAAAAAATTTTTTTCTCCAAAATACGAGGGAAAAATACAAACTTCATGTCTGACTATTATTTGTTTGTACCACTTATATTTAATCAAAAATGTTTCAAATCACTTCTGTCTGATCGAAATTTACTTGTACCACTGAACATTTTTCTTTTTTTTTCCTTAAAAAAAATAAATACGAAAAAAAATAAATAAAAAATAATAAAATTAAATACGAGGAAAAAAATACAAACTTCCTGTCTGATTATTATTTGTTTGTACTACTTATATTTAAAAAATAATTTCATAATTTTCTTAATTTCTATTCCAACAAATTTTTTAAAAATAAAAAATAAAATTTTTATTAAACAAAGAGAATATAATTAAAATTAATTTCGTGATGTGTAAGTGGTCAATATAGAGAAATGTGAAGTGAAATATCTTGACGCTTGAGAAAACTTATAAAATTCGTCCCCTTGCACTTGAGTGAGAGGAAACGAAATTTAATAACATCCCCCTAGTTACACCTCAATGGGCACCTTAACAACCCTACAAAAGTAGACACGCCACTGGTGTCTCTATCCCACTTCATCCTTATCAACCTTTAGCCGCTGATATCTAATAAACCATCTCCCTCGAAATACACTCACACAGAACATCGACGATACCTATCCACTGTTTCTCCATCCCTTCTTCTCAACAAATACGAAAAAGGGGTAAATTTAAATGACCACTCTCTAGACTGGACAGCGGCGCAATCTGTGTTAAAATCGACGAACTACATTATAGTCAAAGGGTTCACAGAAAGTGGCGCCAATCTACTAATCAATAAAAAACTATTTTATCATAATTTTTACCGAAAAAATTATAAATAAACATTGGTATTTTCTATCTCAATATTTTTTTTTCTTGCTGAGATGTATCTATCTATAAATTTATTTTTATTTCATTTTCCTTTATATTCAAAAAATAAAAAATTATAGAAATGTATTTTGAAATTTTTTTTATTTTTGTCTTTTGAAAAAAGCAAGTTTAATAATAAAATCGATTCATTCTCGTAAAATCAAATCTGTCATAGGTTGGGAAATTTTTTTGTTTGTTGCTTTTTTTTTTGTTTGTTCTTTTTTTTGGTGGCAAATCCGAACGTTTTTCGAGTGCGATTAACCTCGACGCCGAGTTTAGTCTGGAGGCATGAATTCCATTGGAATTCGTTGAAAGCTCCAAAATTTTGATGAGACTATAGCCCACTGTATATATATATGTGTGGGTGTGAGAGGAAGAGTACTGATACTGGTGCACCAACAGTGTATTGTTTCGGCATGATAAGCGGCTTAACGGAGCTTTCTACCCCTTCCAAAACCCAGGCCTCTATTTTCACCCCTCTTCCTCCACTTTCACAAAGCCCTTTTCGAGAGGGATGAGAAATCAGACGACCTACTCTCTCACACACACACAAACACACATATACAAAAACCCTTTCCCTCCAAACAATCTCAAATCGTCAACTATCCAATCAAAACGACTATAAGTCTATTCAATTTTTACCTGAGAAATTTTTATTCATTTGGATTTTTTTTTTTTTGTAAGGCGGGGATGAAAGGGGGTTTCTTTTTGTTTGGTCTGAGTAAAAGTGTCTTTTACCACTTACATACAATGAACAAGAATTGATTGTCTACTTTAAAATTTCTTTTAGTGCTTAGGAGACAATTAAAGGGTTTTTTCGATATGTCTGACTAAATTTTATTTGTATCACTTTATGCAGGTACGTAATTATGTGAAAAAAGTATATAAATAATTGAAACAAGTTAAGAAATAATACAAAAAAAGGATTTTTTTAAATTGGCAGACTAAAATTTATTTATACTACTTTTTTCAATATTTTTGAGAAAAAGGAGTTTCTTTTCTCGTCTGACCGAAATTTACTTATACCACTTTCTTTCAGTATTTTTGAAGACAAGGAGCTTTTTTCCACTTGTCTGACTAAAATTTACTTGTACTACTTTTTTGTTAATACGTTAGATAAGGAGAAATTTATTTTAGATTTGTCTGACCAAAATTTACTTATACTACTTTTTTGATAATATTTTTAAACAGAAGAAATTTTTTCCACTTGTCTGACTAAAATAGACATGTACTACTTTTTTGGTAATACGTTTGATAAGGAGAAATTTATTTCTGATTTGCCTAACCAAAATTTACTAATACTACTTTTTTGGTAATATTTTTAAACAGAAAACATTTTTTCCAATTTGTCTGGGTAAAATTTTCTTTCACTACTTTTTCAGTATTTTTTTAGCTAGTGTCGCATTTTATATTTATTTGACTAAACTTTTCTTTTTGATCCTATTTACTAGAAGTCGATTTTTTCTCCAAATGACACGACCAAAATTGCTTTATAGTACTTTTTACTAGAATTTTTTAGGAAGAGCTTTTTTCACATTTTTCGGATTAAAATTTACTTCTACTATTTTTTTCACTGCTTTTAATTAAAATACGAATTTTTTTTCAGAATTCAGTCTTAAAAACCTTTTAAAAATTTGTCTGATTAAACATTACTTCTACTACTTTTTCAGCACTATTCATTAAAAAAAGAGATTTTCTTCATTTGTCTGACAAAAATTTACTTATACTACTAATTTCAGTATTTTCTATTTATAAGTATTTTACAATTGTCTGACTAGAAATAACTTCTACTACTTTTATATCTAGTAAAAAACTTTTTTTTTATAGAAAAGGTATTTATTTTCTTGTGGCGGACTAAAATTTACTTTTACTACTTGCTACGAACATTTTTTCGAGGAGCATTTTACACATGTATCTGACTAAAATTTATTGAACAAGCAGGAAGTTTTTTTTATATTTGTCTGACTAAAAATTACTTTTACTACTTTTTACTAATATTTTGAAAAGAAGGGTATTTTTCCCCGATGTCTGACTAGAATCTACTTTTACTACTTTTTTACTAATATTTTTAAAATAAGGAGATTGTTCCCCGTTGTCTGACTAAAATCTGCTTTTACTACTTTATAATTCACTTTTTTGTAAAAGGACATCTTTCATTCGTCTGACTAAAAACTACTCTTACTACTTTTTACTAGTATTTTTCAGAGAAGGAGCCTTTTCCCCGCTGTCTGACTGAAATCTACTTTATAATTTATGTTTTTTATGAAGGAATTTCATTTGTTTGACTAAAATTTTTTTTTACTGATTTTAAAAAAAATCGCCTTTTCTAAGGTAAAAGAACTTTTTATAATCAGCCTGACTAAAATTTAATAATTTTTTATAAAGAGGAACTTTACGTTTGCCGGACTAAAATTTACTTCTACTACTTTTCTGTATTAAAAAAATTTGCTCTGTTAGAAAAGTTGTTTATTTCCATTTACCTGACTATAATCGATTTTTTTCCACTTTTTGTCAAATATTTTGTAAAAATAGGCGTTTGTTTCTATTTGTCCGACTAAAATTTACTTATACTACTGATTTTCTAGTATTTTCTAGAAGTAGACGCTTTTTACCGTTTATGGGACCAAAATGTAAACTTTTAAACAAACGTAATCTTAAAAAACAGGTGGTTTTAGAAAATGTATTTCCAAACAAAGTGTGTTAGAGAGAAAATAATGTGTCAAATAATATTTTTTTCAAATAAATACATTATATGTATGTAGAATAAATTTTAATTTAATTTTTTTATTTTCAGTGCTAATTTATTTACTTATTTTTATTTAATTCATTTTATTTTCATTCTCAGTTTTATTTGATTTATTTAGTTTTATTTAATTAATTTTTATTTTCAGTTTTATTTTATTTATTTATTTCCATTTTATTAATTTTATTTTGAATTTCATTTTATTTATTTATTTCCATTTTATTCATTTTATTTTCATTTTCAGTTTTATTTGATTTGTTTATATTTATTTTATTTATTTTATTATCATTTTCAGTTTTATTTTATTTATTTCCATTTTATTAATTTTATTTTCATTTTCAGTTTTATTTACATTTTTAATTATTTATCGGGGAATTCGAAGTGTTTTAGAATATTTGTAATGTTTAGAGCGTTTCTCTAATAACAGAAGGTGTTAACTATTTGAAAATAACTTTTCATGTAAGGTAACCATGAAGGTCTTGGAAAGTTCCATCTGGAAAAGACGTTGGTGTAGGGATTAATCAGAGTCCTCTTCCACTTAGACGTGGCAAAACTCAATTTTGAGCGGGTGCCACGTTGCCGCTCAATTTTGACACCCTCGTTGCAACAGTGGCAGCCACGAAGTCGGTGAGAGGTGGAGTTTAGGTTGGGTTGGAAAACTTAGTTATCTATCGACGTTGAAGCGCTCTACGATGAAGAAGAAGAAGTGAACCCAACTCTCTCTCTCTCTCTCTCACTTACTCGCTTATACTCCTAGGGGGGTGATATTGGAGCTAGAAAATTTGTCATTGGGGGATTGGTGGAGGCCTTCGATTAAGGAGTATCGACTTACCGGATAACTTGAATCCCAATGGATCTTGTGGATGCCCAAAGGGAAATGGTCGAGGTCCAAAGTGGAAGGGATGAAATGCCTGATGTCCTGAAACGTGAAACAAATTTTAACTGAGCTTAAAAAGGCACCCCTATTTTTTTCTATTTCTAAATTTCTCATTTCGCATTTCTCTATTTATTTATTTTTTATTTTTTTTTAAGAAAAAGTTCTTTAACTTTGTCTGACTTAAAATTACGTTTACTACTACTTTTCTCTATTTTTAAATCTCTCATTTGCTATTTCTTTTTTTTTAATTTAAAGACCAAATTCTTTACGTTCGTCTGACTAAAAATTACGTTTACTACTATTTTTCACTATTTTTAAATCTCTTCGTTCCTATTAATCAATTTTTTTCAGAAAAAATTCTTTAGGTTTGTCTGACTTAAAATTACATTTACTACTAGTCAAAGTGTTCAATTTATTTTTTTTATTTTAGAAAAAGAGCTTTAACTTTGTCTGACTTAAAATTACCTTTACTACTACTTTTCTCTATTTATAAATCTCTTATTTACTATTTCTCTTTTTTTTAATTTTAAGAAAAAAATTCTTTAGGTTTGTCTGACTTAAAATTACGTTTACTACTATTTTTCTCAATTTCTCAATCTCTTACTTCATATTAATAAATTTTTTTCAGAAAAAGAAAAAATTCTTTAGATTTGTCTGAAGTAAAATTAAAAAAAAAAATTATCTGGTGTTTTCTATAAAAAATGATTAAAATTAAAAAAAATTTAAAAGTCTGACCTTAATACTTTTGTACTACTTATTCCATTAATATTACTTAAAATATCTCTTATTATATTAAGTTGAAGAACGACCGACCGACCGACCGACCGACCGACCCTAGCCGTATATATATGTATATCTTTTAAAAATAATATTAACACAAATGTATACATATTCACAAATCACACATGCGCAGTAGTGTTCTGTTAATGTTACGCATGCGCAGTAGTGTTCTGTTAATGTTACGCATGCGCAGTAGTGTTCTGCCAATATTACGCATGCGCAGTAGTGTTCTGTCAATGTTACGCATGCGCAGTAATGTTCTATCAATGTCAGGCATGCGCAGTAGTGTTCTATCAATATTACGCATGCGCAGTAGTGTTCTGTCAATGTTACGCATGCGCAGTAATGTTCTATCAATGTCAGGCATGCGCAGTAGTGTTCTATCAATGTTACGCATGCGCAGTAGTGTTCTGTTAATGTTACGCATGCGCAGTAGTGTTCTGCCAATATTACGCATGCGCAGTAGTGTTCTGTCAATATTACGCATGCGCAGTAGTGTTCTGCCAATGTTACGCATGCGCAGTAGTGTTCTGCCAATGTTACGCATGCGCAGTAGTGTTCTGCCAATATTACGCATGCGCAGTAGTGTTCTGTTAATGTTACGCATGCGCAGTAGTGTTCTGTCAATATTACGCATGCGCAGTAGTGTTCTATCACTGTTACGCATGCGCAGTAGTGTTCTATCACTGTTACGCATGCGCAGTAGTGTTCTGCCAATGTTACGCATGCGCAGTAGTGTTCTGCCAATATTACGCATGCGCAGTAGTGTTCTGCCAATATTACGCATGCGCAGTAGTGTTCTGCCAATGTTACGCATGCGCAGTAATGTTCTATCAATGTCAGGCATGCGCAGTAGTGTTCTATCAATGTTACGCATGCGCAGTAGTGTTCTGTTAATGTTACGCATGCGCAGTAGTGTTCTGCCAATATTACGCATGCGCAGTAGTGTTCTGTCAATGTTACGCATGTGCAGTAGTGTTCTGTCAATGTTACGCATGCGCAGTAGTGTTCTGCCAATATTAAGCATGCGCAGTAGTGTTCTGCCAATATTAAGCATGCGCAGTAGTGTTCTGCCAATGTTACGCATGCGCAGTAGTGTTCTGTCAATATTACGCATGCGCAGTAGTGTTCTGTCAATGTTACGCATGCGCAGTAGTGTTCTGTCAATATTACGCATGCGCAGTAGTGTTCTGTCAATGTTACGGATGCGCAGTAGTGTTCTATTAATATTACGCATGCGCAGTAGTGTTCTATCATTATTACGCATGGCCAGTAGTGTTATTAATTGAATATTAAAACAATACGTATTTAATATTTTTCTATAAAATATGAGAGAAAATAGGTTTAACCAATTTTATCCCTCGAAGAAGTACGTGATAATTTACTCACGATCTCCAAAAGGACATGTCAATTAAAAATTTCTTAATTTGACGTTTTAGAACTGGATCCAGTTCTCTTTTCAGAATTTATTATATTTTACTACATACTGAAAAAAGAATATACATGGGTTTTCTTGTTCACAAAGAAAAAATAAATTATAATATCAATCGAAGTTAATACAAAAAAAATAACAGTTATATTTAATACTAAAAAATTGTATATACAAAAAATATTAAATAAACTAAAAAATGTTACATAAAGCCTGATTTAATTTAGTTATATACATATATAATACTATTCTGTTGCATCTGCAAATGTTTAGTAGTAACACTGACACGTCGCTGTTAAGCTTGCACAGATGTGTTATACATAATTCCATCATCTGAAATATATAACAAAATATATTTAAAAACATGTTAAAGTAGCAGGGATGCCAGCAGGCGGAGGATTTTCGATCCCACCACGCGACCACTTCTACCCCCACTATACCTACCGGCGGAGGAAACGGAGAATACACGGCAATGATAGCCTTTTTCTGTTTTCTGTTATAAAGGTGAATACTAACCTAAACTGGGCGTAAGAGGCGCGAAATTCAAACGCATATTTAAAATCATTTAGGTAATTATTACTCTATTATTTAATAGTGATAAATTAAATCTATAAAATTTAATGAAATTAATATTTTATTATCACTTTTATTAACAACGGTAGCAAATTATTCTCAAACATATTATAATAATTATTTAAATTCATATTAATCACCAGTATTACATATTTTAATTATTACAACTATTTCTCTATTAATTTACTTTCTTTATTTAACTATTATAATTTTTTAGATTATTTAATATTAAAATATTAAAAAATAATATTTAATATTATTGAAAATATAATAATTTAATTCTCACAATGATAAAATTGTATAATTTGCATTCTTTGAAAACACTAATTTATCTCAATAAATTTTCCAGAATAAAAAATTCTGCAATATTATAAAAATAATTTTTTTACTTAAATAAACCTAAGATTATAAACATATTAAATTCTGTTACAGTTTTTATTGGCATTTTTAGATTACGTTCATTATTTTTAACAATTAATTGTGCGAACCTGAATACAATTATTTAATATTCTTTTTAATAATCACACTCTCTGTAAAAAGTCGTTCTTAATTTTATTAGTTTTTTTAGTTTCTTATTTATAATTCTATAAAATTAGCTAATTCTGATCTTTCAAAAAATTTAGTTATTACAATTAAAATAAATGTGATTTATTCTTTTATTATTAATGCAATAATTATTAATCAGGGTGTCTACTATTTTTGTTCAACAAAATTCTCGGTTATTTTCTGGTTTTTTTTTCCATTAATTCTAAATTTATTTCATTTTGAACTTTAATAAATCTACAAATGGCTTCAAAATTTTTTATTAGAGTTATTATGAACAATAAAATTCTTTTGACGAGTTGCTTTAAATTTTTTGAAAATAATTTTTTTTAATAATTTTTATTAAAAAGTTTGGAAAATAATTGAATTAAACAAAGAATATTTTCAATTTGTTAAAATAATCTTATCTGTTCATAATTATAATTAAAAATTTGATTAATTCAATTTTATTAAAATGTATTGATATTAAATAAATTTCTGCAAAGAATTTTACTATAATATATAAAAGTAATTGAATCCTTTCAAAGAATGTTATTATTTATGAAAATAATTGAATTCTTGCGAAGAATTTTATTAAAATTTTTAAAAATAATACGCAGTAATAATTAATTATGTACTTGATAATACTAATAAAAATTTAATTTGCTCAAGAAATAAATAAATAAATGTCAATTATATTAACATTCAGAAATTTAAAACTATAAAAATTCAAGAGAAGCTTTATAATTATAATTCTTGAATAATAATATATTAATATAACTTTTAGAAGCAAAAAATTGATTTAAAACTTTAAGAGAGACTTTATATTTTGAAAGTAAAATTATAATTACAATGACAAACTTTCCTCGATTATTTTCGAGAAATTTAAATAAAATTCTTTAAAATAATTTAATTATTTTCAATAGAATTGAAAAATTTCAAAAATCTTATTTTTTTAGGATTTTCAATAAAATTTTGCGAAAATTTAATTCTATTAAAATATTTTAAGTGTGTATCTTTTTTAAATTAACTAATAAAAATTTTAATTATTAATCTTCGCACTAAGAAACATCAATACATTAGCATATGACTTTTTATACAATTTAATTATTTCTCAATTATTAAATTAAAATACTTTGAAAATTCGTTATGTTAAAAAGTTTTTAATGAAATTCTTAAACAAATTTAATTATTTTCAGTTGAATTTCACAAAATTTCTATTAATTCGATAATTTTTTTAAACTTATTTACATAATAAATTTGAATCAGTGACTGATTTTTTACTATAAAATTAATTATTTTTAACTAATTCAAATTTAGAGAACAGTATAAATATTTATAAAAATTGTAATAAAAAACGACTTTTAAAAAAAGTATCTAAAAAACAAACAAATATTAAAATAATTTAAATTACTGTCTATAAAATACAAAAAATTTTTAGTTTTTAATTAACATGCATGTATATTAATAATTTAATAATAAATAAAAATTTAATTTGCTCAAGAAATAAATAAATAAATGTCAATTATATTAACATTCAGAAATTTAAAACTATAAAAATTCAAGAGAAGCTTTATAATTATAATTCTTGAATAATAATATATTAATATAACTTTTAGAAGCAAAAAATTGATTTAAAACTTTAAGAGAGACTTTATATTTTGAAAGTAAAATTATAATTACAATGACAAACTTTCCTCGATTATTTTCGAGAAATTTAAATAAAATTCTTTAAAATAATTTAATTATTTTCAATAGAATTGAAAAATTTCAAAAATCTTATTTTTTTAGGATTTTCAATAAAATTTTGCGAAAATTTAATTCTATTAAAATATTTTAAGTGTGTATCTTTTTTAAATTAACTAATAAAAATTTTAATTATTAATCTTCGCACTAAGAAACATCAATACATTAGCATATGACTTTTTATACAATTTAATTATTTCTCAATTATTAAATTAAAATACTTTGAAAATTCGTTATGTTAAAAAGTTTTTAATGAAATTCTTAAACAAATTTAATTATTTTCAGTTGAATTTCACAAAATTTCTATTAATTCGATAATTTTTTTAAACTTATTTACATAATAAATTTGAATCAGTGACTGATTTTTTACTATAAAATTAATTATTTTTAACTAATTCAAATTTAGAGAACAGTATAAATATTTATAAAAATTGTAATAAAAAACGACTTTTAAAAAAAGTATCTAAAAAACAAACAAATATTAAAATAATTTAAATTACTGTCTATAAAATACAAAAAATTTTTAGTTTTTAATTAACATGCATGTATATTAATAATTTAATAATAAATTTTAAATTTATTAAATAATAAAATTATATATTTAATTATAAAACAATAAAAAACTAATAAAATTAAGCACGACTTTTTACAGAGAGTGTGATTATTAAAAAGAATATTAAATAATTGTATTAAGGTTCGCACAATTAATTGTTAAAAATAATAGATAATAATAAATAATAGAGTAATAATTACCTAAATGATTTTAAATATGCGTTTGAATTTCGCGCCTCTTACGCCCAGTTTAGGTTAGTATTCACCTTTATAACAGAAAACAGAAAAAGGCTATCATTGCCGTGTATTCTCCGTTTCCTCCGCCGGTAGGTATAGTGGGGGTAGAAGTGGTCGCGTGGTGGGATCGAAAATCCTCCGCCTGCTGGCATCCCTGTAAAGTAGTTGATTTAATTATTAAGATATATGTAAAAACCCAATATACACTATTACCTGTAGGATTACTACATAAGATATTTTGGATTATCTTATATAAATGCATTATTTAATTATTGCTCTTCAATGGTTTTTATTATTTCTTATAATTATTATTTTGTTGTCATTTAAAGACGCAGCCGATATTGTTCAGCGCTGTCTTTTAATATTGTACTTTGATAGGTTTTATCATTATTGGTTATTAATTCAGCCTTCCTTAAAAGACGCAGCCGATATTATTCAGCGCTGTCTTTTAATATTGTACTTTGATAGGTTTTATCATTATTGGTTATTAATTTAGTCTTCCTTAAAAGACGCAGCCGATATTGTTCAGCGCTGTCTTTCATTTTTGCTCTTTAATTGTTTTTATTATTTTTTGTCATTAATTTAGTATTCCTTAAAAGACGCAGCCGATATTGTTCAGCGCTGTCTTTCATTTTTGCTCTTCAATTGTTTTTATTATTTTTTGTCATTAATTTAGTATTCCTTAAAAGACGCAGCCGATTTTCTTCAGCGCAGTCATTCATTTTTTTTAATACATAGTTAACCTTGCTCATTTCAAGATCATTGCTGTTTTTTATTGTATATAATTATTAAACCTCAAAATGTTGTTCATGGGTGCAATATTAATCTAAAACTTCAGTATAAACAATGTTTTTAACATAGTATTCTTTATTATTATTATCATCAGTAATACGTGAATTTGCTGTTAATAGTACTTTTAGATTATTTTTAGATTTTACTCTCGACACACCAACATAAAATTGTCCATGACTAAATACATGTGATGGTAAGTATAATCCTACTTTTTTAAATGATTGGCCTTGAGATTTGTTTATCGTCAAAGCAAATCCTAGTCTTATGGGGAATTGTTTTCTCGACATTTTAAAGGGTATTTCTTCATTCGAAGGAGACAATGTTATTCGCGGCAATATAACAATTTCATTTTTATAATTTCCGGTAAGTATTTCGGCATAAATGGTATAGTTTTCTAATTTTATGATTCTTAATCTTGTTCCATTACAAAGTCCTTTTTCTAAATTAACATTTCTTAATAGTATTACTATTGCTCCTATCTTTAAATTTAATTTATGAGGTGGTAGTCCATTTGGAGTTAGTGTATTTAAAACTTCGGTTGGTACTAGTGTACTTAATGTATTATCTTCTTCATCTTCCTCACAGAAATCTATACTTAAATATTCCCTACTTTCACCATTAATTCTTTCAAGAATTTCATTGTTTAATTCAAATACATCATTATTCCGCGGCGCTAATATGACCTTTTCGTGTATATCAAGTTCATTTGGATTGATTTCATTACCATAAATTTCTGTTACTATGTCACTATTGCATATTATTTCACTAGGCAATAATTTTGCTTGATTTTCTTCTTCAAAGAAGTTATTAGATTTTCCATTTCCAACCTCTAAGAGCCATAAGTTGAAATCTTTATCATCATTACATAGTCTTATATTTTCACTTAACGTAAAACATTGAAAATTTGACCATAAATTGCTTCTCTTAACACAGTTATTTACAATTAGTGTTCTGTTTCCATGTCTAACAATTGGCAATGTTTGTCTGAAATCACCTGAAGTAATTATAATTTTGTTGCCGAAACTTTTATTTTTGTCACATAAGTCTTTTAATAACCTATCTACAGCTTCAAATGCATATTTGGAAGTCATTGTTATCTCATCCCAAATTATAACTTTACAATTTTTAATTTTATTACCTTCAATTGTGTTTGATCGTATATTGCATGTTGTTTGTTCGTTTATTGTTAACGGTAACTTGAATACTGTGTGTACAGTTTTACCATTAATTAATAAATTTGCTGCTATTCCTGTCCATGCCACAGCTAAAACAGGAATTTTATTCATATTGAAATATCCAATTAATACATTGAGTAAATAGCTTTTCCCACAACCTCCAGGACCATCAATGAAAAAATTTCTGTTTTCTATATTTTCATTATTAACTGCATTTATCACAGAATCAAATATATATTTTTGACTTTCAGTTAAAGAGTTAAAAAGTCTTTCATTATCACTGTCGTTTGTAAGTTGAAAATTAAAGTGACTGTTAAGTATTTGAAAGTCGGACATATTTTTTATTGTTGGCAAATTAAAATCGTGTAACGAAAAGGAATTCATTATTAAAATATTATTAATTGTTTGTAATGCCCACAACTCTCCTTCATCTTGTTGCATTCTAGGAAAATAAAAATGCATTTTATACTTTTCATACAATTCTCTAGCATTAATTGGATTATGATATATACATATGTAAGCAAAAAGTTCACAAATTGCTTTCGGTAATTGTATTTTGCAAGCTTCATTAAGACATTTATTGCATTCATCGTCAGTTGATATTAATTGCCTTTCTTTAGCGGCTTCAAAAAATGTCGGAAAAACAACATTATTAACTGTTCGTATATCCGAAAATGATGTAGGACCTTTCACATGCAATAGCAGTAATCGAAGATGGAATTTTTCACGTTGACGTGGACTAACTAAATAAATTCTACTTATGATAGGTTTCCTTGAAATTTTTCGTTTAGTCCACTTTTTTGTACTTTTATTAAAAACATAGTGCTGAGGGATATCAAGATATAGCAAACTCCTCGCTTCTACATCAATTTTATTTAATTCAAACCATGCAGTAAGTGTAGTATGGACTTTCTTATTTAAAAATTGTTCTTCTTGACCTTCTTTAAAATATACGTTCTGTTCGTTTTCATTATGAATAGCTAATCTATATATTGTATGTGACAAATCATGAAGTGGAAACTCAAATATCCTATACATTGCTTCCGGAGGACATACATATCTTGTATTTATATATTGTTTTATTTCATCATATACAATACTTTCTTCATTAATATTATTTGACCCTTTGCTTTCCTCATTTTCAATAACTGTTGTATTAGGGATACTTTTCATTTCGATAAGAGCACAGTCATGTCCTTTATAACAATATTTAAATAAATATTTAACTGAATGTAATGATGAAAATATAGGTTCCACGTTAATATGAGCATTTAATTTTAAAAGCAAATAAGGATTGTAGGGCACTACAAATCTATTATCAGCAATTCTTGTTTTTGAATATATTATAGATTTACCATCATTTCTTCGTCTATACATGGGATAACCTGTATTATTAAATTCCGTTTCATTAGTGAATTGCTTTGGAAAATTTTTTGAACACTTTTTAGTATTTGTGTTCATACAAGGTGAATTCATATTTTGCTTACCACAAGGTCCATGTATCATAAATTGTTTAACTATATTAAATAAACGTGTATTAGTTTTTTCATCGGGTATTTCTGCCATAATTAATTTATCAACATCATCTGTTGTCTGAATCTTGTCATTTTTATGTAAATACAATAATAAATGCATATGTGGTAGACCTCTCTTTTGAAATTCAATAACATATGTGTAAGCAATGCACATTCCAAAAACTTTTTTTTTAATAACTTCATTCATTAATTCTTTTACTTTTAAATTAAATATTCTACTAACTATATCTGGCCGACTTAAAACATCTTCATTTTCTTTAATATTATTAATAATTTCTTTCCATTTTGGATTGCACGTCATAGTTATAAATAAATCAGGTTTACCAAATTTTTGAACTAAACAAATTGCATCGCTAAAATTTTGTTGTAACGCTCTAGGACTGCCAGTAAAAGAAGACGGCAAAATAAACATTTTTCCAATTTGTATATTTTCTTTTTGTTCTTTTTTTTTATGCAGGTAGTCCATTAATCCTGAATATAGTTCCGTTCTTAAAACATGTTGTTGTTGCCTTATATAATATAATCGTCCACTTTCAATTTTTACAAAAGCATCAACCACATACTGTTGGGTCAATTTTCCCGAATTCAGAATGACGTTAAAATCATCTCTAACACTAAATTTGTATGAATAAAACTGCAATGCTGTAATATTGTTTTTTTTGTCATTTGAGACTAAATTTGGCATCCAACCGTTACCACCTGAAGGATACATTAGCGGATATGTCATTGGATCTACATGTCTACTTATAGAAGGAATGCTAATTGGTTTATCAAATTTAGAATATATACAAAAATCACGTTCAATTGGAGGTTCACCATCTTCATCTACAAAAACAACTGCTACTTCATTTGCTGTTGGCAGATTATATCTATTTTTATCAAAATTATAATTCCTTTTTAAAATCATTTTTATTTCACGTGGAAAAGTATTATTATCTTGACATAATTTATGTTCTTCTTTTTCTACTTCGTACATCATCTTATATGATTTAGCATATGGACTACATTTTCTGAATACATTTTCCAGAAAACGTAATATATCAATTCTGCATTCATTATTATCTGTTTTACGAAATTCTGTTGCTAATTCATTGTCAATTATATATAGTTGACCATATTTTCTTCTTTCATTATTTGTAGGATGTAGTGAGTAAGCGCTATGGTAAATTTGACCACAAATTTTAAATACTTGAGGTCCTTTATTCTGTAATGGAACATATGTGGCAACGAAACTTGCAAAAGCTACCGCATTATTATAGTGTCTTATATTTTTTCTGTAGTGTATGCTTTCATTTGAATCACCACAAAGCAATTCTTTTAATTCTGTAGGATATAATGGATCTTCTGCCAAGCTAATTTTACCTTTATGACAACATGTACTAAACTTTTTATCTTTTGGCATTTCCAACATAAAATGTTTAGCATTACAAAATTCACAAATAATATTCATTTCACCTAAAAAATTTTCTTGAATAGAAACTTCATCTTTTAACATTGCAATATATTTCAAATTTTCAATGTCATCTTTTACTTTTATTTTATTATTATCACAAAAGTTTCCATTTTTATATTTTAACTTTTTTAAGTCTACATTTTCTATATCATTACTATTATCATTAGTTTGAATTTTTCTTTTTTTAAGATTTTCTCGATATTTCTTGCACTTTTCTATATTTTTTAGTTTCATTTCTTCACTTTTATTTTCGCGATTTTTTTTACATTTGTTTTTATTTTTTAATTGCATTTCTTCACTATTAATTTCATTTTGAATTATCCTATAGTTTTTACATTTTGATTTATTTTTTGATTTAATTTCTTTTTGATTAATTTCATTTTGAATTTCACGATAACTTTTGCATTTATTAACATTCTTAAAATGTTCATTTTCTTTGTTAATTTGCATCTTTACATCTCTATATTTCTGACATTTGTTTTTATTTTTCAATTTTAATTCTTCATTACTTTTCATAATTTCACGATATTCTTTACATTTATTTTTATTATTTAACTGTAGAATTTTGTCATCTTTCCTACATTCTCGATATTTTTGACACTTTTCTTTATTCTTTAATTGCTTTTTCTGTTCATTCTTAACCTTATCTATTTTATAATAGTTTTGACTCGTTTCTTTATTTTTCAATTCCAAATTTTGACATTCTGGTTTTTCACCATTTACTTTTATTAGATTTTTTAAATTACTTTTTATATTATCAATTTTTGCCAAGTTAATTTTAATGTTATAATTGTTCTTAACAATGTGACACGTATTAAAATTTGAAATTTTAAAGTAATCATATTTCATAATTTGATGATTTTCTAATGGTTGAGATACAGAAATAATATTATGCGTGTTTAAGGTAGATAATACTGGAAACATTTGTAATGTATTCGTTTCAAATATGTACAATAAATGCTTTCTCATATCAGGAATTGAAAATGTTAAAGAACATGGACATATGTTATTAATAATTGCTGTAACAAAAGCAATAGCAAATACTCCACAATCGAAATTGTTCGTTTGATATTGAACTTTTTCAAATACAATTTTTAAATTAGTATGGTCTGAAAATAAATTTTGAAGGTATATTTGATGATCAGGATGTAATTCGCCACTATTTGCACTATTATAAACATGAACAACATTTGAATTATAATATATACATATCCAATGGCCTTTGTCTTTTTTATTTTTTTCACATGAAAATAGAATTTGAACATAATTAGTACCCAGTGGTATCTTCCTAATATTTGATGGTATTTGTAATAATAGTGGTGATTGCATTGAATAATTTGAGTTTAACATTACAATGTTATTAAATTCATGTATGTGAATATCATGCAGCATGCTTTTTTCTAAAGAAAAATCACCTGTCCCTTGGACAATTAATTTGTCTTCAAATGTTAAACCCATAATTATTAATCTATAGACAAAATGAGCAATTAAATGTTTCTAATAATTTTAGTTTTTTTAAAACTCGAAAAATAATCTGTAAATAAAATATTCATTATTAATAAAATAGTTGTAAAAATTAATTTGAGGTAAGTTTACTTTCTTTAGCAAATTAAAAAAAAAATTTTGCTAGAAAGTTAGCAAAGGAGATACAGTTTCAGGGCATATATTATTAATTATGTTATATGAACCATTTTTCCATTTACAGACGTAAAGGAATTAATTAATTTCGTACTCTTTGAAATATTTGAATTTTTCTTAAAAATTGGATTTTTTGAAATTTAAACCAACGTAGAGACTAAACTTCTAAATGGATATGTAAAATACTCTAGAATACTATTAATTGAGTTAAAATCTCGACCAAAAAAGAAGTCGCTCTTACAATGAGTAAAGTGATTCGGAAGTGTAAAAGTAGTGTAAAATTTAAATTTTAAAGGTAATTTATTTTTTTCCTACTACTTTGAACATTGAAATTGATTATATTAGTTTAGTTAAGTGATAATTTTGACTAAAAAAAAATTGGGGTGGCTGCCATAAAAAGTTGCATGTCATCATGAGTGAACCACTGTTTATAACCATGAGTGGACTGCCTGTTTTTTATATTTTTAATGACAGTTTACTCTTTTTATGAATATAAATTGACGAAAAATTAGCTTTTTTGAAAAGTAAATTGTTTTTTCCAAATAAAAAAAATCAAAGCTATTATGGTATAAACACTTATCTAGGGATCTAAACTAAATCTTGGAATAGAAACCTCCTATTAATTTGCTTTCATAAAGAATTTTTAAGAAAAAAGCTTAGGCGGTGACATTACCCTAATTAAAAATTATGGATTTTCAAATCTTCATTATATCCAAAATATTCAATGAAAATTGTTTAAAAAACATTTTTAATATTTTTTTCTAATTCTACATATAACGATAACTTTTTTAAAAAACATCGTACAGTAATTTAAAAAACCGCTGTCAAGTTGTATATTTTTTTCAAAATTTTGTTGCTCATTTCATGAACACTTTGCTTTCTCATAGAGATAATAATAATAGAAATATATGAATAACTTTTTATAAATATAGTAAAAGTGATTTAATTTTGGGTCAATAAATGTCTTTTTAAATACCCTACAAGATATGTTATAACAGTTTAATAGTTAAACAAAAAAGTTGAGAAAATGTCATTTCCCACAATTTTTGGTTTTTAAAATACTGCAAAAAATGGCGTCTAAAAATAAGACGTTTAGACGTTTATAATCGTCTTATGTAGATAAGCGTCTTATTTGAGCGTCTTAAATGAAAAACATAACCGCCAAATACATGCATTTTAAAAGGCAAATAAGACGCTTATAAACGTCTAAAATGTGACCACGTAAACGTCTTAAACCAAGACGCTTTTTTTTTACAAAAATAGGTCAATCGAAGCGTTTTTTAATGCTCTACAAGTTGGTAACGATAATTTTAAAGTTACTTCTACATTTTTCATCATTTTCAAAAAAGTTTTAAGACCAAAAAAACGGTATTTGTATGTAACAAAAAATAGTTTGCTTTTTCAAATTGAAACAAAAAAATTAAGAATATAATCAAAATGGAATATTATGCAGTCAAGGGAAAGGAACAAAAAGAACTCAGTGTTTAACAAAATTAATGTTTAATAAAAATTAGTTTGTTTTTTCGATTTTAAACGAAAAAAATTAAAATTAGATGCAACGTAAAAATTTTAAAGCACGTCGTGTTGCCGGTGAAAAATCTTAATTAAATTTTGGTACCGGACCGGCACAGGGCCATTATTAACATTTTTGCTGTCAGAATTTCTGTGCCGGTAGAAAATAATACCATCTAAATCTGAATGAGTGAAAATTTCAATGAATAATTGGATCTAATAAATATTACTTTAAATCAATTAGGAAAATTACTTGATTCAATAATGCATGGTTTTTAATTCAATTAAATATTTATTTGCATCAATAAAATAATTTTTTTTAAAGAACTAAACATTTATTTGTATCAAATATGCAATTATTCTTTATAATTAATTATTTTAATTGAGACTAATACTTTAATTGCGTCAAATAATTAATTATATAGCCAAATACCAAAATTATTTGCATCAAAACAAAGCAGTTTTGGATTCAAATAAATCTCAATTTGTATTAAAGAAATGAATCTTTTTCCATTTCCAAACGTAAAAGAAATATAAAAATAATAAAAAGCAATTTGGAAAATTATATCAAGATTCGTGGTAGAGAATTGTTGCTAAGTAAAAAATTTAAACCGTGAATAGGGTAAACCAAACAGTAGTCAGACACTTTTTCAATTTTGAATAGCTATAAAACCGTATGAGATAAAAATATTTTGTTTGTTGCTAATCATTTCTAAGTTGATCATAAACAAATCTAAGCTTTTGTAATTGAAAAAAATCTTTTTTTACAGTTTTTGAAAGCTTTTTTAAGTGGCCGATTACTGTCGGATTCTTACTTATTTATTTACTAATTTTTTTAACGAATAAAAACTTATTTTTATAAACATAGTTTTAATAGTTTTGTGTGATCGTAAGATAAAGAAAAAATAAATAAAATAAAAGGAAGAATTATAATAAGGTTATTCAATTTTTTGGTTACTTTTATAGAAAGAAAAATAAAATAATAAAAGAAATAATTATAATAAGGTTATTCAATTTTTTGGATACTTTTATATAATTGAAGCAAAGAAAACTAAACTTCTAAACGTATTTGTAAATATTTTGGAATATTATTTATTAATTGGTTTAAAATCTTGATATCTATATTTCAAGAAATTTCAAAACATTTCATATTTTTTGAAATATTTAGATTTTTCCGAAAACAATTAAATTTTTTAAATTTAGACAAACGTAGAGCCTACACTGAAAATAAAATATTTTTGTTTTAAGAGCATTTCTCTTATTTGAATGCATATATTCTTCTTGTATATGGATTTATCATTTTCATACAAGAATTTCTTTTTAAGACGTTACATAAGTCAAAACGATCCGTATTACGATAATGATTATTGTTGGTTTAAATTATGTTTAAAATTTTATTTTTTAGAATTATTAATTATTGTTAATTATTATTATTAATTATTTTTTGAAATATGTAATTAAAGAAATTCAAAATTAAATAAAACAAAACATTTTTTTAATAACAATTTTTTATATTTTTTTATTAATTGCAAAGACTCGCGTTTTTTAAAATTCAAAATAGCAGAACTAATGTGGAGGTAAAAGTTTGAAAAATTTATTGGATTTACTCAGAATTTCTTATTAAACTAATCTTAAAAAAAAATTTTTTAAATAAATTATAAAAAGAAAATTTTAATAAATTATTAATTTAATTTCTATAAACATATTTTTGGAAAATATTGGGATGCGATTATGTAAAAATTGATAGACTGACTTTTGTTTCTTTAAAAGTACTAAAATTTTTAGTTATCGATTACTTAATATTATTGATATTATTGATTATTTGATCTCATGAGTTTAAAAAATGACATCCGTATGTGTGTGTCCGTATGTAAATATCTCGAAATAATGAAGAGCTTTAGAGATGAATTTTTTTTAAAACTTTATGGTCTCACGTGTGGACATAAAATGAGAGTAATTTGTGATAGATTAATACAGTTTAACTATAATTTATTTATATTATCAATCAAGCTTCTTATATTCTCAGAGCAAACCCATTATTAGTCAAGAGCTGTACATTTAAATATTTGAATTTTTCGCTGATTAAGAATTATAATTACGAAAGAACATTTCGACCATATCAGCAAATAGTGAATCAAAGACTTCAATTGACATCTAATAGATGTCACTATTCAAATATTTATTAACATATCACATTAAAATTTATTTTTTAAAACTTTTTTTTAGAAAAAAGAAATATATAGTAGGACGATTATTTTTTTAATTAAATTATTACTAAATATATCATTTACTTTCAGAAATTAAAATATTATGTTGTTTCTTTAACATTTTTATTAATTTTTTTATTTATTTCATATATGTAAACTACATTAACCCATTAAAATTAAATATAAAAAACAAAAAGCAATTAATAATCTTTTGAAAATGAAAATATTAATTAAAAGAAATAAAAAATCATAATTATTAATGACTTACAATATGTAATTGTATTTATTTATTCTGTAATAAATTAAATAAAATTTTAAATAATTAAAATTAATATAATTATATTACTATTTAATATTATAATACAAAATAAAATATTTACAAACATAAATCAATAATACATTTATAAAAATTATTTATTATATATGATTAAAATATCTTACTTGGAATAATAATAATAAAACAGTTTCACGTTCTGTAGAATTCAATTTTTTTTACACAAAATTATATTTAACTTTTAAACTCTAAATGATAGATTTACATTTTTGTAAGCAGTATATCTCAATCAAGTTTAAACAGTTACAAATTATATTGATAATTCTATTATACAAGAATTCCCCTAATTCATTTCTATAATAACAAAGAAATAAGAATATTTTGAATAAAGTATAAACATTAGTATCGATTTGAAATTGAAACAGTAAACACGCATCATGAAACACAATAAACGAAATTTAGAATCTGATGACCATGGTTTCTCTCATAATTTAAATAAAGAAAAAAAAATAAAAATTGATAGTTTCATGGATATACAAAATACAATATCAGAGTAAGTTCTATAATTTTTAAATTATAATTTTATAATTTTTTTTTTTATTAATTTCGACATAATTATACAACATATTAACAACAAATTTTAAAAGTTTATTTTCTATATATTATAATGCTAATTATTTTATTTAATTATATATGGAAATAATACAAAATGTTGCCTTTGTACAAAACAAAATGACAGAAACGTGTTTGCTTATATTTTTTTTAAATCATGTAGAAACTTTATAAAGCTACATAATTTATTTTTATTAATACAAAAGTTTAAAAAATGAATTGAAGGGTGCACTAAAACAAAGCTGTATCCTCCAACACGACACTTCAACTTTTAGAGCTAAATATTAATAATTTATAATTAAAATCAGTTTATTAATCACAAAAAATTTTTTATAATGATCACAAACTTTAACTAAATAAGAATTTCTTACATATTTAACCATTTATTTTACAAAAAAAGACTTCTGACTTTAAATTTGGTGCAAATATAATCTACGAAAAATTGGCGGATAATTCATTGTTTTAGTGCACCCTTCAATTATTATTAATATGTTTTTAATAAATTATAGCTTTTTAAATAAAAATTTATTATTTTTTTAATTTTTAAAATATTAGAAAATGTAAGATTTGTGCAAAGTATATTATCTAATTTTGTTACATGATAATGGTTTAAATACCCTTACTGTTTAATCAGCAATAAACTAAGTTGCCTAATTTTTATTTGCATAATAGAATTATTTTGTTACTTTCAAAAATTGTTATTAAACAAAAATAATATTAACTTACAAAAATAATATTAACTTCCAAAAATTAATTTAAAAAGTAATAAATCATTATCTTTAATCATTAGAAACATAGAAGATTGGTGTTTTTCAAATTTTTTCGGTTTTTAAATATATTTAATTAAATAATACATTACTTAATGCATAATTAATATAATGCACTATAATTTTTATTATTATTTAATTTTTTTGTTTTAAAACATTTTTTTGGTTTATAGATGGGTTATTCGTTGCAAAATTGTGAATAAATCAAACATTAAGTCGTATAAAAGTGGAAAATTATTTTCTATCGATTTAATAGATTCTTCAAGTCAATTTCGATGTACTTTCTTTGACGATGCGGTTGATAAATTTTTTGAAATTGTGCAGGTAATTTGGTTGTTTTTTAATATTATGAACTCAAAATATTATGATATTAAATTTTTTTTTTGTTAAAATAAACTTCTTTTTTTAATAATAGATCGGTAAGCAGTACATTTTGTCAAAATTCTATGTATCAACACCTCATCCAAAATTTAATGTATTCAATAATAGAATTGAAATCCAAATGAAAACTGATTCGTCGATCAAAGAAAATGATGAAAATGATATTTTCCTTCCTGACAACATGTATACTTTTAAAACCATCGAGGAAATTAAATTAATGGAAACAGGAACATTTACAGGTAAGAAGTACATAATGGAATAAAACATACAAAATAAAATATATATGTAATAAATAAAAGTAATAACAATTAATAACAATTAAATTTGCAGATCTAAAAGCGAAAATCTTTCACATAAATGAAATTGAAGAAATTGTTCTTAAAACTGGAACAAAATTCGTAAAAAGATCTGTAACAATAGTCGACGAGTTAAACGAAAAAGTAAGATTGAATTCAGTATATGTAATTTAAATATAATTTGTTTGCATAATTTTATTTTAAATAAATTTAAAAACATTTTTATTTTCAGATTGATTTTGCATTATGGCGTGAGAATGCACAAAATTTTTCGATGAATGTTGATGATGACATTATTATTAAAGGCGGAAAGGTCCTATTTTACAATAACATTGCCTACATTTCTATAATAAATTCATCAATTATAACACTTAATGAAGGTTCTGAAAATGATTAAATTACAATTTCTTAGTTCCTTAGAACCATTTCATTGTAGATTAATCGATTTTTCTTTATTATAATTTCAAAGAAAATTATATTTTGAGTTATTCCTACGCGTTTTGGAATAAAAAAAATAGAAATAGCTCCTACGATATATAAAAGAAATAAATTATTATATAATACATATTTTCTTTTTGAAAAAGTCATAACTGTGACAGTTTGATGTTAATTGTTTTTTATATAGATATATTTCGTTAACAAATATGGTTTGAAAGCAATTAAATCATATTTAGAGAGCAGTGTAACTGCAAATGTTACTGTTTAAGAAATAAAATAAAAAGAAATGTAGATTTCTATTATTTGTTAACAAAAAATTTTCAATTCAAAAAAATTAATAAATTATATAATAGAAAGGAATTCTATTGATTTATAAGTAAATAGCGATAAGTATCCAATTTATTGTAATTAACGTATATACACTATAAATTTGTAATATTTTACTAATTATTAAATGGAATTTAATTTATAAATTAACTGTTTCATTTACATTTATTTAATTAACTGTTTATTCAAGTTATTTAAGTTATTTAAGTTAAAGATAATTATATGACATTCTTAATTATTATATTTAATTTATCTATTTTTTTAATATAATGATATTTTTGTCAATTATAAATTATCTAGAATTTTTAAATTACTAATATTTTAATTCTAAATTATAATTATTGAAACTTTAAACTTTTAAAATTAAATAAATTATATTTTAATATTATTTTTAATTTATAAATATATCAATTTTTAAATACATTGCATTAATTTAAATTAATTTAAATATCCTTATTCTTTAACTTTTTTTTTATTATAATTGATAATTACAATAGATTATATTTTTTAATTTTGTTAAAAAGACATATTCACTGTGTCTATTTAGTTGACAATTTAATAAGTTTTTGTAAAAAAAGGACATAAAATAACAAAATTTCACTTATAATTTTAATATCACGTGTATTGACGTTATTAGTATATTTGAAAAAAAAAATTGTTGCTTTTTCTATCATAGAAATTTATTAATTCCTTTTTATAAAATTACATGGAGAAAAGTAGTAAAAATTATCGTTTAATAATTTTTAAAAAATAGTTTAAAAAATAATATACTAAGCTTTTAATTGTAACGAATGAAATTTATGTAAAAAAATTTAAAACATATTCTTTTAATGAAAATTCCTTATATTTACTCCGTTTTGCGTGATTGTACCAAATTTCCGGTTTATTTCAGGTTATTTACAAATTCTTAGTTCGTTAGACACATTACTATTTTTGAAACGTTTTAAAACTAATTAATGCCACTTATAATAATATGATTAATTAATTTTAATTAATATTATAGGGGAAGAAGAAGCAAATAATAATAATGACAAGACAGAAGATCATTCTTCTAAGCATGATGAGAATGAAAGAAATACGAAGCATTCAAAAAATGTGAGACATAATGAAGAACATAGACAATCTCAATCGTCTGCTATTTACAGACCTATTTAAAACTCGTAATTTCTACAATTCAAAGCGATATAAAGGTCATTTTCAGAATTATCAACATGCTGCATTTAGAAGGAGAAAAAGTAATTATTCTTTTTATAATATTAAATTAAATTTAAATGTTTTTATTACAATCAATAATTTTTTTCGATATGTTTTATAAATTACATTAATTTTATTAATTAATTTTATTTTATTCATCTAATTAAAATTCTTTTCAATTACAATTTTTCACATAGTATTAAATAAAAGTAATAAACAATCATTAATAATTGTCATTTTATATCATTGATTTATTATAATTAATTCGATTATAACAGTTAATTTATAAATTAAATTCCATTTAATAATTAGTAAAATATTACAAATTTATAGTGTATATACGTTAATTACAATAAATTGGATACTTATCGCTATTTACTTATAAATCAATAGAATTCCTTTCTATTATATAATTTATTAATTTTTTTGAATTGAAAATTTTTTGTTAACAAATAATAGAAATCTACATTTCTTTTTATTTTATTTCTTAAACAGTAACATTTGCAGTTACACTGCTCTCTAAATATGATTTAATTGCTTTCAAACCATATTTGTTAACGAAATATATCTATATAAAAAACAATTAACATCAAACTGTCACAGTTATGACTTTTTCAAAAAGAAAATATGTATTATATAATAATTTATTTCTTTTATATATCGTAGGAGCTATTTCTATTTTTTTTATTCCAAAACGCGTAGGAATAACTCAAAATATAATTTTCTTTGAAATTATAATAAAGAAAAATCGATTAATCTACAATGAAATGGTTCTAAGGAACTAAGAAATTGTAATTTAATCATTTTCAGAACCTTCATTAAGTGTTATAATTGATGAATTTATTATAGAAATGTAGGCAATGTTATTGTAAAATAGGACCTTTCCGCCTTTAATAATAATGTCATCATCAACATTCATCGAAAAATTTTGTGCATTCTCACGCCATAATGCAAAATCAATCTGAAAATAAAAATGTTTTTAAATTTATTTAAAATAAAATTATGCAAACAAATTATATTTAAATTACATATACTGAATTCAATCTTACTTTTTCGTTTAACTCGTCGACTATTGTTACAGATCTTTTTACGAATTTTGTTCCAGTTTTAAGAACAATTTCTTCAATTTCATTTATGTGAAAGATTTTCGCTTTTAGATCTGCAAATTTAATTGTTATTAATTGTTATTACTTTTATTTATTACATATATATTTTATTTTGTATGTTTTATTCCATTATGTACTTCTTACCTGTAAATGTTCCTGTTTCCATTAATTTAATTTCCTCGATGGTTTTAAAAGTATACATGTTGTCAGGAAGGAAAATATCATTTTCATCATTTTCTTTGATCGACGAATCAGTTTTCATTTGGATTTCAATTCTATTATTGAATACATTAAATTTTGGATGAGGTGTTGATACATAGAATTTTGACAAAATGTACTGCTTACCGATCTATTATTAAAAAAAGAAGTTTATTTTAACAAAAAAAAAATTTAATATCATAATATTTTGAGTTCATAATATTAAAAAACAACCAAATTACCTGCACAATTTCAAAAAATTTATCAACCGCATCGTCAAAGAAAGTACATCGAAATTGACTTGAAGAATCTATTAAATCGATAGAAAATAATTTTCCACTTTTATACGACTTAATGTTTGATTTATTCACAATTTTGCAACGAATAACCCATCTATAAACCAAAAAAATGTTTTAAAACAAAAAAATTAAATAATAATAAAAATTATAGTGCATTATATTAATTATGCATTAAGTAATGTATTATTTAATTAAATATATTTAAAAACCGAAAAAATTTGAAAAACACCAATCTTCTATGTTTCTAATGATTAAAGATAATGATTTATTACTTTTTAAATTAATTTTTGGAAGTTAATATTATTTTTGTAAGTTAATATTATTTTTGTTTAATAACAATTTTTGAAAGTAACAAAATAATTCTATTATGCAAATAAAAATTAGGCAACTTAGTTTATTGCTGATTAAACAGTAAGGGTATTTAAACCATTATCATGTAACAAAATTAGATAATATACTTTGCACAAATCTTACATTTTCTAATATTTTAAAAATTAAAAAAATAATAAATTTTTATTTAAAAAGCTATAATTTATTAAAAACATATTAATAATAATTGAAGGGTGCACTAAAACAATGAATTATCCGCCAATTTTTCGTAGATTATATTTGCACCAAATTTAAAGTCAGAAGTCTTTTTTTGTAAAATAAATGGTTAAATATGTAAGAAATTCTTATTTAGTTAAAGTTTGTGATCATTATAAAAAATTTTTTGTGATTAATAAACTGATTTTAATTAAGGGAATTTAAACCATTATGACGTCACATATTTAGAACAAATGCTTTGAACAAACTGTGACGTCATAATTGTTCCAATGCCCTTAAATTGTTGTTAAAATTTCAATTATTTTCAAAAGTTTTCTAAAATTCAATAATTTTCAATATCTACTATTTCAATAAAATTTTCCAAAAGAATTCCATTATTAAAAAAAATTGAATGAAATTCTTCGCAAACATTCAATTATTTTCATAAATAATAAAAATTTTTACAGGAATTCAATTATTTACAAATTTCTTTTATAAATTTCTTCGCAATGTATTATTTAATTAAATATGTGACGCTCCACGAGAAAAGGGACCTTATGACAAGAGTAAATAAGGTCCCTTTTCTCGTGGAGCGTCACATATATTTAAAAACAGAAAAAAATTTGAAAAACACTATAATCTTCGATTTTTATAATTGAAAATAATGATTTATTATTTTTTTATTTAATTTTTTAAAATTAATATTATTTTTGTTTAATAACAATTTTTGAAAGTAACAAAATAATTATATTATAATATTTTAAAAACACAAGTAATAATTAAATTTTAAAATTAAAAAACTTACTCTGACATAATTTTTTGTATATCCTCGAAACTACTAACTTTTATTTTTTGTTCTTCATTTAAATCTTTAATTAAACTATTCTCTCCAGATTCTAACTTTCGTTTATTGCGTCCCATGATGTGTGTCTACTGTTTCAATTTCCAATCGATAATAAAGTTTATGCTTCATTCAAAATATTTTTTTTCGTATATACGAATGAATTAGGGGAATTCTTGTATTATAGAATTATTATTATTATTGTATACTGTACCTATTTAAACTTCGATGAAAATATAATAATATATTTAAAATTTATTATCTTTTATTATGAGTTGAATCTATATTTAAGAAAATAACAAAAAATCTCGTAGAAGAATCATTAACGACATGTATATTTAATTTTTAAATAATTATTTATACAATTTAACATTTATAAAATCAAGTTCATTCATGTGAATTGAAAGAATAAAATGTTATTATATAATAATATGTTTCTAAAAATAAATATTTAGGTAAAATGTGAATTTTTCTACTTTAATTGTAATTTAGGTAATTTATAAATTATAATACAAAATATATCATTTATAGACATCAAACAATTCGTTTTGATGCAAAGAATAAATTTTTTATTCGTTTTCAAAAAAATAATAATAAAAAATAATTACACTGTAAAAAAAGGGAGTTAAATTTTAACTCCCCCGGGGGGTCTATAAAAGTCGCACCCATTGGGGAGTTAATGCCAGGGGAGTTAAATAAAGAGAGTTAAAATTTAACACCCAAAACCTAACTTCCCATGGAAAAAATAACTCGCGCGGGTGTTGAATGAAGGGAGTTAGAAATTAACTCTCTTTTGGAGTTGATTTTTAACTCGAAAAATTTCACTCCCAACTCCCGAGTCCGTTAACTCCCTAAATTTTTTACAGTGTATAAAAAAGAAAATGATTTTTAAAAAAAGTGCAAATTTAAAAAAAAAAATTTTTTATTGAGATTAATTCTATAAATTCAAATGCAATGTACAGTTAATATATACCAATTTTTCTTTTCAAGATTTTTTAAATTCTATCAATTCATTTTGAGATATTATTATGATAAATATATCTAGCAATATTTAAATAAATTCGTTGAAACGAATTATCGTGTTCACAAAACAAGAACTAATAAATTTACCTCATTTAAAGAAAAAATTTTTTCAATCTATTACACTAACAAAACTGTTTTTACATATTTTAAATAGACTGTATTGCTATAATCAATTTCAAAAACTAATTTAAATAATAGAAGAATATATCTTATAATTTTCATACTTTTTATTGATAATAATAATACATAATAATAATAATAAAAATAATAATAATAACAAAATACAAATACAGAAAAAATAATAATATGTTAATATAAATAAAATAATAAAATACGAATACTGACGTTAAAATGCAAATAAATAATTAAAATAATAAAAAAATAATGGAAAATAATAATGGAATTTTTTCATAAATATTAAAATTTTTACAAGGATTCAATTATTTTTATAAATAATAAAATTCTTTTTAGGAATTCAATTATTTTTATAAGTAATTACAATTTTAATCGAATTCCTCAAAAAATGTAAATATTCCTGAAAATTTTATTAAAATTCGCCAAAAGAATTCAATTATTTAAAATTTATTGATATCATTTTTTAGGAGAATTCAATTTTAAGAAACATGCAATTATTCAATAAATTGTATTTTTTGTATTTAAATAATTGGATTCTAGTAGAATTTTCTAATAAAAAATTTAATTGATTTAAAAATGAATTTTAGTAAAATTTTCACATAAAAATTGAATTTTAAAAGCATTATAGGGTGAATCTTTAGAAATAATTCCATTTTAAAAAAGTTTCAAATTAAAATATTTGAAAATCTGAATTTTGCATATTTTTAACTAACAATTCTGTGGAATTAATTTTTTCTAAGAAAGTTTAATTGCGGATTTTTTTATATTATTTAAAGTTTTTATTTTCTAATATATATTTAATTAAAGAATTTACGAATAATTGAATTTTTGTAAAATTGAATTGTAAATAAATGAATTTGAAAATTTCTCAAAGAACTTTTTCAAAAATTATTAAAAATAATTGATTTAATGAAGAATTTTAGTTAAAAATAAATTTTTTATACCGTATTTCTTTGTACAAGTTTGATCTTTACGTTCTACGAGTAACCAATTCGGAAAAAATCGGGACATAGGTTTTTTTTAAATTTGACTGTCCTCTTTTAGAATCTGAAAGAAAATTTCAATTTCTAGTTAATCATAAAAAGTTGTAATTGTTTAAACAAAAAAAAGCTGTTTTTTTGAGTGTTTTTTTCTTTAAAATTAGATTATTTACTCGAATACGGTTGGAAAAAATCCGGAGCATGAAAATATCGCGTCCAAAATGTTGGGACTATCAAATAGGCATTATGCCGAAACAAAATTTTTTTCTAATTTCAAATTGGCGCCTCAAAACAAACAAAACAATAATTTAAACAATTTTTATAAACAATTTTTATAAACAATTTTAAATCTGTGGGCCAAAGTGGTAAAAAAATTTTTTTTTTTTCTCAATTCTTATTTCTTTTTGCAGTAAAAATTAATATTAAAAGTTAATAACTTAATTCAAACTTTTTTACAATGTTTAAGAATGTTATAAACAATTTTTATAAACAATTTGCAAAACATGAAATAGAATCTTAGAGAAAAATTATTTTTTGATTGTATGAAGCTCTCTTGTAATCAAAATGTTGCTGAAGGTTTAAATTTTCATTTCATATTATTTAACAACATTTAAAAATGTTATAAGCAATTTTTATAAACAATTTTTATAAAAAAAGATTTTCAGAGTGGAAAAAAATTTGCTTTTCTACCGCACAAGTAGAATTTCTAATGACTTTTGTCATTAGAAAGAAAACTAAAGTATCTACTGCTTACAAAAAATTTGTGAACAATGTATATAATCCAAATCTTTGTTAAAGAGATAAACGTTTATTTAATATTATTTAAAATTTTTTTTTAAAATGTTAAAAACAATTTTTATAAACAATTTGAATTTTGAAGGCCAAAGTGGAAACAAAAATTTCTTTTTATCAATTTTTACTTCTTTTTGCAGTAAAAATGAATAATAAAAATTAGTCACTTAATTCTAACTTGTTTACAATATTTAAGAATTTTATAAACAATTTTTATAAACAATTTGCAAATCATGAAATAGAATCCTAGAAAACAATTATTTTTTGATTATATTACGTTCTCTTGCAATCAAAATATTGCTAAAGGTTCAAACTTACATTTAATGTTATTTAATATTATTTAAAAATTTTATAAACAATTTTTATAAACAATTTTAAATTTGAAGGCCAAAGTGGAAACAAAAATTTTCTTTTTATCAATTTTTATTTCTTTTTGCAGTTAAAATGAATAATAAATGTTAATCACTTAATCCTAACTTTTTTACAATGTTTAAGAATTGTTTATAAATTTTGAATAAACGGTTGTCACATCAGTTTTCATATTATAGTTAAAACAGTTTAGTGGTTAGAAAAAATTTATTTCCTATCTGACTGACTCTTTTTAGTAAACTTGTTTATAACATTGACAAAATTTTTTAAATAATTTCAGAATATCTTTTCTTTATCAAAATTGTTTATAACATTGTAAAAAATGGTGAATAGTTACAGATGATGATTTTTATTTTAAATATCTATTCGGATGAAAAACCAAGTAAAAAGTGAAAAAAAATTTTTTCTTCCATCCCTGAACTATTTTTTTATAAAAATTGTTTATAACATTTTTAAATATTGTTACATAACTTTAAATGAATGTTTGAACCTTTAGCAATATTTTGATTGCAAGAGAACGTAATATGTTCAAATTAATTTTGAAGTATTTGTGTAACATTGAATTGTTTGTTTTATAATTTTTAAAAAATTATAATTTCATTATTACAATTTAATATGAAAAGAGAAATTAAAATTAATTAAAATAAAATACTTAAAAAATTAAACTTGAAATTTGTTTAGATTTAATTAATTTATAATAATTTAAAATAAATTTATAATATATTTTATGTGAGTATATTAATAGATTATTAATAAAGGAAATGAAATAATAAAATTTCATATCTTTATAGTTTTCACAAGATAATTATTTATTGATCGTTACATATTTTTCGCTGCTTGCAACATAGATGAAAATAACATTTTTAAATTATTTTCAATCTTTTTGGAATTATTCAAGTTACGGTTGTAACGATGACGTTTCCCTCCTTTCGTCCCTCTGTAATTATCTGAAACATGATCGAAATAATAAAATATAAAAATTTGTATAATATATATATATAGTTCATATATAAAATAAAAATAAAAAGTATTATTAAAGAAGTTGTATAAGAATATTATTATTAGTATAAGAATAATAGTTACTTTTTCTCCATCTAGGTGAAGCATTTTGTTTGTTGTTCTGGTAGTTGTTCCCATAGTTCCGATTTGTTGAGTTATAAAAATATCTCGATTTATAATAGTTATTACTCTTCCTTTTAAAAGGTGGAGTCGAATTAGCATGATCATGATTATGGGTAGATCTGCTTTCGTCATTAGATGTTGACTTATCCCCATCTTTCTTCTCTTTATTTTTGTTTTCTTCTTCTCCTACAATAGTCATAAAAAATTATGAATCATTAAAATTTGAAATCAATATTTGTTAAAGTTATTAAAAATGTCATAATAAAAACTAATAATTTTAAAAAAATGAAAAAAGTTAATTTGGAAAAAATTAACAAATTTAATTATTTAATAATAGTTCTTGGATAATTTACTCTCTACATTTGAATCAGTGAAAATACCACTGAATGAAACAGTACTCAGATATTTGACTGATGAATCAGTAATTTAAGAGCTTTTCACTAATCAGTGCAGTAATTTTTTTCCGTCTTAGTATTACTGAATTAAATCAAAAACGTCAAAACTTATGTTTCTTCATTTTGCGTTGTTTTTAAAAAACTAATAATTTATAATTAATTAATAACATGCACTAATACTGTAATTCGTAAGTTTTTTACTAATTATTAATTTTAGTACTTGTGAGGTAATTATAATTAATTAACAAAATTTAACAAAATTTAATTTAATTTTTATTAACAAAATCTATTATATTCAATTAATTAAAAAAATATTTTGTAAGAATCCACTGATTTAATTTTAGAGAGTATTGTACAATTTTTTAATGTAAAATGAATTTTTATTTTTACTTCTTATAAAAAATGACATTTACTTATAAGAATTTATAGAAATAAATTGTATTAATTTAATATTTTTTAATTTAATAAAAAATTATAAATTAAATTTATTTATTACAAAATTAAATATAACTAATTTTCAAAACTTTGTAAGTACAAAAGAATCTTGTTATATTAAAAAAACTAGTTTAATTAAATATAATAATAAATAATATTTTATAAAAAATAACAATAACTAATTCATTATTTTAAATTTATATAAAGCAAAGAACATTAACAATAAATAAACTTACCCATAGTAAGCGATGTTAACTGACCTATGAAAAAATCCAAACTTTCTTCTTCTACACTCATATTAGTAATGAACATAAATATTATCAATTCTATCATTCTATATAATTACCTATTTAATAATATTGTTTGAATATATTTCTTTTACAAATACAATTAGTTTATATATTATAACGATTTATATAAATTTATCACAAAATTTATCATTAAAATTTAATATTATTAAATTAAATAAATAAAAAATTAATTTAATTAAATTTTAAAACAAATTGTTAATTTAAAAACAATTAATTAAATTAATTTTAAACAAATTTATAATTAATAATTAAAAAAACATTTTTTAAAAATATTTTTAATACTCAACATAAGCAATATAAATAATAATTAAGTAACAATAATTGAATATAATAGATTAATATTAATCGAAAAATTTATATTACTGAAAGTTTTAATACATAAAAACTGAAACAGATTTAAAAAAATAATTTTTAGTAGTAAAAAAGTACACTATGTAAAAAAAGTATATTTTTAACAAAAGATTTTTCATTCGCAATTAAAGTTTTAATTAATTCATTTACTTACACGCAGTTGAAACACAACCTGCTTTACACAGTTGTCGAACAGGATAATAATATTAAGATATTACTTATAAACAGATTAGATTAATTAGAATGTTAAAATCGTTTATTTCTTTATGTAATAAATTTCTGGTAAAGAAATAAATAATTACAAAATTTTTTATTATTATTATACATTATTATTTTAATTATTTATATATATATATATATATATATACATTAACAATAAATATGCTATTAAATATATAATATATATGAAATATTAAAATATAATGTATAATAATAAATATTTTTGTAAATGGAAATAAATAAGTAAAATGTCTTCCGAGCGAGCGTTAGCGAGCGAGGACAATGACGCTAGTTATATATAAACATACATGATAGTGTATACAACACTTGGTTTGTATCACCCTATATCTCACTTTATTCCTAAGTTTCTTGATGCGGAAAATTCGCCATCCACCTTATGCCAGACAACGTTTCTATATAACACACGTTTTGCTAATGTATACATATATATAGTGAAAATCCTGGCGTGAAGGGATATTTTATCGTGCGTCGGCTGCTGATTTTTCCACGTTGAGACGAGCGACAAAATGCGAAAACGAAGCATTTTAAGGACGATAATTCCGCTCGAGTTAAGCGTAGGCGTTTATAGGTACCTCTATAGGTATATTATACGAATATATGTACATATATATTATTCTGTCAGTCTCATACTGCTTATATATACACACATAGCAAGGATTTCACGTTTTGTAAAATATTTTTCACAAAAAAACTAATTTCATATTTACAAAATTGTATTCATTCTCGGTTCCGGATTCTTTTGATAAGCGTTGAGCGATTTTATAATATTAAAAAAAAATCCCCTCGATGATGTGAAATGGTAGTTATATTAGTAAAAAATTGGAAGATTATCTCGGTTTTTTAATTTTAAATTTACTCTCTAAATCTGAATAAGTAGAATTCTACTAACATAGAAAAATTTTAATAATTTTTTAGTAGAATTCCCAGGGTTTCTGCAAGTTAATGGAAAACCAGGAAATCGTGGAATTGTCATGGGATTTCATTTTGATTCATGGAATCATGGAAATCTCATGGAATTTCTAATCGAATAGTGGAATTTTTTTAGTTTTTGTTGTAAACCTATGCAATTGAAATTCGCGCTCCTTTAATACTCAGGGAGGTCAAAAGTTTCAATTTATCAATTCCCCTGACAATTTACTGACATTAAAATTACTTTTCCTAACAAAATTCTTTTTACAATAGGAAAATATTAATGTTTATACGGAAAATAAGTAAAATTTATGAATTTTAATAATTTCTAAAAATTAAAATTATAACGCTTCCTGAACTAAATTATTTTCTACAATTTTCAACTAAACTTCATCTCTGAATCAATTAATTTAAATAATTTTCCAAAAGTTCTTCTAGAATTCAATTATTTAAATATTATCTTATTAATATTAATTGCTTCATTAAATAATAAAACAATATTTCTGTTCTTTATATTAAAAATTTACAATTTATACATACTTTCTTGCCACAAAGTATTTATTATGTTTATTTTTTTTTCTTCTGATTTTTAATTGAGTGATTATAATTTTCAGTTCCCCCTGTTCCTAAATGAATATTTATTATCATATAAATTCTCAATTAAATTCAATTTACGTCCCGGGAGTAATGTAAGGCTTAATTTAAAATCTCATTTTTTTTTTCTTTCTTTTACTGTCACAGTTCTGAGAGAAAGTTCAACCAATAATAATTGAGGGAGGGGGGGTCACGAGAACCGACTAATAGTGCGCTCTCTGCCTAAAGTAATTACTTTGCTGAGAGTTCACATATACAGACATATACATTGCATACATATAATTGTGTGTATATGTGTGCGCGATGAGAGTCGAGATTGGGGTAAAGAAACATTTTTTTATTTTATAAATTATATTTCTGTATGTGTGTAATGTTCTTTTTATAAATAACGCTATTTTATTTTAATAACAGTACTTTTTACTATAGTTTTATGTACAAATTTCACTTATTAGTTTATTAATTTTTATTAACAATTTTTGTTGGGTAATTTGTTATTATTTTACAATCTCTAAATTTAAATTAGTAGAATTTTTACTAATTCAATTAGTATTTTTAGTTTTAACTAATGAATTTGATAAGTTTAACAAAATTACTGATTAAATTAGTAAATATGCCGGTAGTTAAAGAAAAACCAGCTATACAAATTATTAAATTACTAATTTTAATTTTAAATTTAAAATTTAAATTTTTTTTTTTTTTTTTTTTAAATTTTGAATTTTATTAAATAATTAAATTATTAAATATTAAATAATTCATCCCTAGGGGATGAAAACACTCCATTGTAAAATTCAGTCGAACAAAAATTCGAATTTGTGTAATACTGTAAAAGCAAACCTATAGTATAGTCTACGCGAATATATATATACAGCGATAATATACTAATTAAATACGAGGCGCACTGACACGATCCATGGCGCGCGTTTTCGCCTAACGAGGCTGGTAATTATGCCAACAGGTTCATCTTCTCGAAACCTGGCAAAAACCGCGTTTTCGTTCTAGTACCGCCCATTACTCATGGGAGAGAAATATATGTATATATTTCGCCAGACCAGAAACGAAGCAGGAGAGAATTTCTCTCAAGACAGTCGTCCACCCTGATGAAAAGCAAGACAAGAACTCGCTTGTCTTAAAAGTGACATTAAGGATTCTCCTTTCTCCGAAAAAGCATTTTAATATAAAAAAAAAAACTCTTCTCGTTATATATACTTCGCCAGAGATAAATGTAACTCAAGACGCACTGATATATAATATCCCATCGCTTTTATTTTAAAGGCGAAAGAAGAAAGGAGGGGAGAGTGAGCAATATCCTAAAAATTCCCCTTAAAAATACTTTCGATCTTAATACATAATTTTTATATATATATAGTGAATTCGATTAGCTGGGCTCGAACTAGGTCCGTAAATCCAGTAAAAGTCCGTAAAAGTCAGTTTTTTGAAGAAGGTCCGTAAAGTTCGTAATTTAACAGAAAATGGACGAAAATTCGTAAATTGTACGATATAACTTTGAGAATTTGAGAGAAATTATAAATGATTGCAGAAATTCAATTATTTTCAAAAGTAATCAAATTCTTCACAGAAATTCAATTATTTTCAAAAAGTTTTAAAAATCCTCGTCAACATTTCAATTATCTTTAAAAATAATAAAATTCTTCTCTGACATTCAATTATTTTCAAAAATTTTAATAAAATTCTTGGCAAAATTTCAATTATTTTCAAAAATAAAATGCATTTTTCTAATTTCAATGATTTTCAATATCTACTATTTAAATAAAATTTGACAAAAGAATTCAATTATTTAAAAAAATATTAATAAAATTCTACGTAAACATTTAATTATTTTCATAAATAATAACATTGTTTACAGGGATTCAATTATTTACAAATTTATTATAAATTTCTTCTAAATAGTTCAATTATTATTTTCATAAATAATAAAATTTTTACAAGGATTCAATTATTTTCGTAAATAAAATTCTTTTTAGAAATTCAATTATTTTAATAAATAAACTCAATGCTGAATTTCAATTATTTTTAATACAATTTTAATAAAATTCCTCGAAAAGTGGATTCTTAAAACTTTTATTCAAATTCGTCAAAAGAATTCAATTATTTATAAATTTGTAGATAAAATTCTTCATGAGAATTCAATTATTCAATAATTTATTTTTGTATTTTTAATAATTGAATTCCAGTAGAATTTTCTAATAAAAATTTGATTTAATAATGAATCTCACTTAAAAAATTTAGATCATAATTGAATATTAAAAAAGCATTATAGCGTGAGTTTTTAGAAATAATTGAATTTTGAAAAGGTTTCATATTAAAATCTTTTAAAATTTAAATTTTTCATACTTTCAACTAACAATTCTGTAGAAGAATTAATTTTTTGAAAAAGTTTATTTCAATTTTACTTGAAATTATTTTTTTGAAGTTTCTCTTTTCTAATATATATTTAATTGAAGAATTTCCGTATAAATTGAAATTTTGGAAAATTGAATATTGTAAAGAAATGAATTTGAAAATTCTCAAAGAACTTTTTCAAAAATTATTAAAAATAATGGATTTATAGAAGAATTTTAATTAAAAACACGAAAAACAAATTTCATTTTGAAGAAATGAATTATTACAGAAATTCAATTATTTTCAAAATTGATAAAATTCTTCTTACAAAGTTCAAAATTAAAAAAAAATTCTCTTCAAAATCACAATTATCTTTATAAATAACAAAATTTTTCTTCAAAATTCAATTATTTTAAAAAATTTTCCTCATTTCAATGATTTTCAATAATCTACTATTTTAATAAATTTCCCAAAGAGAATCCATAATTATTTAAAAATAATTTTAATAAATTTGTACGCAAACATTTAATTTTTTTATAAATA